AAGGGCGGCATCTTTGAGATCAGAAAAAAACAATGGCATTTTTGAGGATACGCTTCAGTACGGTGGGTCATCCAGGATTTGTGAGAACCCTAGTGGAATAGAGAACACACAGCAGAAATTTTGATGGAAAAAATTAAAGGCTTTAATGCCCTATGACGACAACACCCAGCCGCCCTTTATGATTGTTGTCCTGCAAGAAGCTGTAACTGTTTCATAAGTAGAGAAATATAATACACGTGATACCCATATCTTTTTTTGATCAAACTTAACTCAAGGCTAATTAAGTTAGAATGTTGCATATCGCGTGCAATATTAGAAAGTAGCATAGAATGAATGGATAAGAGGGACCGAGTTGCTTGTTCGAAATTGAGACGAAATATACAACACGTTCAAGTGTGATGCGACGTCCAGAAATCATCAAGCGCAGCTAAAAGGGACAGACAGACAAGACCCCGCAACCAGATACAACGGCGAATTTAAATATTTAACAGCATCAGGCGTTGGTTCCGTTTTCAGGTTTTGGTTGTTGCAGATCACAATGACTTAGTAACAACTGATTGAACCTGTTTGTGCAATCCGCCTTATTTTTCCTCCTAAAGGGTTCCTTTTAAACCTCCACGTAAGCTACTCCTTAGGCTGTACGTACGTCCTCCACTGATGGCGTGCTACAGCTTGTGAGGCTTCTAAGATCTATATATAACAGGTTGTTCTGTCATAATAAGCATTATCACAGTTATGTATCGTTATTGGTGAAAGGCGAAGATTATAGATTTTTATTATTTTCAACGATATAGATTAACTGAGCCTGCCTTTTACGGACACTGAAGTGATTTACCAGCTCGAATATAACACGTTTCATTGCAAAGGCCGCTGCGGTTGAGAATGACGACAACGACCCGATGAGTAGGACGCGACAGAAACTTCGCCAACCTGGTTCAATAAAATCTTGGGCTTTTTACTTTTAACAGAGGTAGGCCGTAAGCTTCCCTGATTATATATATATATATATATTCCCGAACTACCATATATATATATATATATATATATATATGATAGTTCGGGAAATGCACTGATCGAATAGACGATTGTCCCATTTGCTAGATCGCTCTTGCAGGTAGGTGACCATTTAGTCTACAATTATTTAATATAGTTTCAGAGGCATACCTCATTATTAAAAGCTTACAGGGCTGTGCGAAGGTTATTTCCCCAGCAGTATTCCCAGGTAAGCAACTATTTGTCAGATGGAATTTGTAGAAAATGGCTCTATGAATTTGTTTAATCTACTGAGTAAGGTAAGCGAATCTATATTAGGCCAAAAAAAAACTCAGAACTCCGATATACCTCAAAAGAACGCGCTGGTCTCATTTTCTGTTTCTAACTTATGCTCAACGGTCATTCGTCTAATGTACGGCATGAATTTTAAATAATTACAAAACTGTTTTTATGCTTGTGCGTCGAGCACTTTAACTTGTAGTTGAATGCTATAAGATAGAATGTGAAAAGATTGCGGATCTTCTGCTGAGGAGTTCGCCAGGGTAAGATGCAGATGTAGGTAGCTGTTAGGATATCTTTCTGGTTTTCGGTACTGATCGTACATTTCATTGATCAAGGGTTCGTAATTGATCATCCAGTAATCTTGTAACAACTACTTACTTTCTAAACGGCTGAATAATTTAACTGTACTAGAATATAATTCATTTGTAAAAGTGGATACATACATTTAGCTCTAATCGTATATGGCATATTGTACGAATGACCGCAAACTTGACAACCTATAACTATAATCGTATGGCTCAGTTCACTTTTACTTTTTGGTATAACGTTCAACCCGCTCATTCGAAGCAATTCCGTTCCGCTCGATCGATCAATGAATGGTCGATATGTCTCGCTGTCACCGTCGCAGCGACAAGAAAGATCTTCGCACTGCCGTCCGGCGGAGGGGGACGGGAGGAAGGGGTGCAACGATACCGCATCAGTAAACTAATCGCTAAGTTCGTAACAACGCCTCGCACGTACACTACCGCCTACGTTTAACCATGCTGCCATACGTGAAGTCGCCAAGCAATGCGAACGATAGGCTGAAGGGGTATCGTTAGTAATTGGAAGGCTTGTTGCGACAAAGCTCCTCTGCGGTGCCGTAAAAAGCTGGAAACAGAAAGACCTGTTTTTTGACTGAAGATGGCTGTACAGAATTGTAGCCTATTATATAATATATCTTACGCACCGTAAGATTCAAACGTTATTACTAAAGGGCTTATTATATTAAGAAAAAAAAATACTGCTATCAGTGGATGTTGTCGCCCTAACCCATACCTGACTTCTCATATTCAAATGAATTCTCTTACGAGTTATGTGTTTCGCCTCTGTGAAATGCCGCCATACGTGTACGATTAGTCCTTGTTACGCAGTGGGCAGTTAACTACGAATCTGCTGAACGGGTGAGAACGCGATGAAAAAGAGCAGCCTAACTATACGCAATATATGTTATACAGTGATCGCATTTGCAAATGGATCGATACTGATATTATGGCTTAATATTTATAAATGTTTGTCATATATTTGTATAATCCGCCAGAGTGGGCGTTAAGTTGTTCGGAAATGTAATCTCCACTCCAATGGGCCACTACCCCCCACCCCCCCCCACCCCCGGCGGAAGAATAAGCAGTTGCTGCGTAAACACCGGACGGAGTGGACTTTAGCAAGAAAGTCTGTTTTCAGTAGACGGTAAGTTAGGTACAAGAGTATCTACGAGCTGATCACAGTTCAATGTCACTACGAGCTAGTAATTGAGCAAATCGCTACTCAATATCTACCGTAATTTGTTGATAGAAGCTGCTTAGATTTCAGGCCTTATAGCAGAACATAATTTACGGATACATATAAATAATGGAAAATAGGCACACGCCCGGGTTATGTGCCAGTGCAGTGATTTGAGCCGCAATCCAGTTTTTGGCTGATGAAATTACCCACTGCTTATTCGAAGTTCATCGTATATATTTTTACTCGTACAAGCAAAACTTAACACTAAATATTATATTGGTTGCTTTTAATTTTAAAATGTATTATTAACTCTTAAACTATTTTATTTTACTCTTAGGCTCTGGTTTTTTTTTGTATTTCTTCCTTTCACGTCGGCAGCCTAGAGTCTGCTTATACTATTGACAATATTTTCTCTGATCTTTGCCTGAACGGTTTAAAAAATGTTTTTCTATTATTTACAAAACTTTGTGAATAAAAATCTATTTGCCTTTTAGCTCGAAACAAACTTTCGAGACTCCCGCAAGAAATTGTTTTTTTTTTTTTATCACCTAAAGAAGGAGAAAGAATGTTCTTGTATAATTATTTGTCGAGCTAACAAAAAAGGAAAAACGGGTCAAAGCTATCCATAAGCGGACGATGCCATTATTTGAACAAAGTTCATTGTTTGTGCATACAACTAATATATTCTGGTAAATGGTCATTAGCGTCTTTTAGAAGGTGTTTATAATATCCTCAAGCACTAGCCAGTCCCGGTCGAATCTATCTAACCGGCTCCTGTGACATAAAAACCTATGGGGAAAAATGTTTGGAAGTATTCAATATTTAAGTTCAATTAATGTTTACAAGAAGTGTGCCTTTTATAGTCCATAGTAATATGTATCATATTATAATTTTTATAGCACACAGGTGACCAATGTGACACGGGAATACAACGTAGGCCTAGAGCACCAGGTCAGCTAAACGTAATTTTCTGATAGTGATTTGCACCCTTGTATCAGTATCTCTGTAATTTAGAGTTTAGCATGAGCCTTATATCTACGCTATTCCAAATTATGGAAAAGCATTCAGGAACATATAATTGTTTTACAAGATTCTCTGTGCAGAATGTCCCATGCAAAGAATAAATTACGTGCAAGACGCCCTTTTTTGCTTTTCAATAGGGATCCGTTTTTATTCAGTTTCCGCATTTTCCCAATTCTATAACACGTTACGCGTGAAATGCCAGTTTTGGCCGACAGAGCTTTTAGACTTTAGGATTTGCTTTCGTAAAAAAAAGCCTCTTCGACTGCAGAAATGTGTTCTTGTCCTTCGGACGGACACAACTGGTCACCTCCCCACTGGTCTTCAGTACTCCAATGCTTGTCCTTGAAACGTGTGCATTACTTGCGCACTGTGCTTTCAATTACGATCTGTTTACATAATATTTGCATCGATCTTCGATGAATTTCTGCGGCCCTGTGGCCTTTGATTTTTTAGGTTAAAAGACATTTTTACTTCTGAACTGTTTTTTTTCGAGTAAACTCAACCGGTTTTCGCTCAGACGATTTCTGAAAAGGACTGAATTATCTATTAGTCAAATTGTATCTGCGAGTAGCGCTGAATTTGAAAAGTTAATAAATTTCAAAATCTGCCGGATTCGCTCGCAACAGTCTAATAATAATAATAATAATAACCGCATAAAGTTTTAAATAACTAGTTACTCAGCAGGAAAGTAAGTGTATTCAAATCTTAACATATTTAACAGAGCATCGTTCATATATATTTTATAATATCCGATTATTATAAAATATGTTTAGCTTTATTTATTTGTGCCAAGGTCACAAATTGCTATGAAACGGTTGCTGAAGGAGGGGACTTACCATAACTTATATGCTAAACAGGTTACTTTCTATATTCGGCTCGTTTGCGTCTGTTAACCCTTCAGCGTCCGCTGTTGGCATAGAGGCTCCGAGGGCTAAGTCTTTAGCTGTGGGAGGAGATAGCTTTGGGTCTAAGCCGCGCAGAACTTGTCTTTATTTACGTGGAAGTGGATTCGTATATGTTCGATTATTCAAATGTGTGCATGAAATCTCTTTTTAAATGTAACTGTTCGTGGACCCATGGCAAGCTCTCCAGTAATCTTTTCTTAGGTCACAGGTTGTTCCGTCGATTAAACTTCATGACCAGCAGCGCAAACACAGCTGGTACACCAAGCGGTCAGGAGCAATAATATTTCATGTTTTAATAATTTATTTTTTTAGGCTGCAAGCGAGTTGCCACACCATGTCGGAGCTGAGTGCCACTCGACAGATTCGTGTCTCTCCGACCGCAGTGCGTAAACTATATACCCTATTTCTCGTTCGTAAACGCGACAAGGTGCTACTCGGCATGAAAAAGAGAGGTTTCGGAGCTGGCAAATGGAACGGATTTGGAGGCAAGGTCGATCCCGGCGAAACAATTGATCAAGCGGCAATACGCGAGCTGAAAGAAGAGAGCGGCCTTGAGGTAGCCACTTTCCATAAGTTCGCTGTAATCACTTTTGAGTTCGTTGAAGGAGATCATATCATGGAGGGTCATATCTATACATCGAACGAGCCAGTTGGCGAACCTGTGGAGACGGAGGAAATGCTACCTCAATGGTACCCAATTAACAAAGTTCCATTTGACAAAATGTGGCAAGACGACAAATTCTGGTTTCCACTATGGGAAAGCGGTAAGCGATTTGTCGCTTATTTCAAGTTTCAAAATAATGATATTCTTTTGGACCAAACGATCCGGGAAATTAGTGATGACTCGCAGAAGCTAGAACCAATGTGTTAAACGGAGAGCTGGTGTATCTTGAAGCTATTGCGTGCATTTCAGGGAAAACCTCAGGACACTCTCTAAAACTTCAACCTTCGGTCAGAAATATAGGGCTTCTCTATATATTTTAGACACGGTAAAAACTACACATCATGAATCGTCGAAAACGACTCGTTTCAACTAAAGAATAGCATATGTTATAAAAGCTGAATATTTAAACGTAATATCAAGTTCATATTTGTAACGGCTATATACGTATTCTTGCATCATATGCCCGACCAAATAAAGGTGCACAAGTTCGTGATGTGAAAAAATCTAAATTTCTATATTACAAAATAGGAAGAAGGGAAAAAAAACGTTATCTATCAGCTCATTCATTTTGTATGCTTTGTTAAAACTGGTTTTCATTAAATATAACTAAACTACATTAGCTGTATACCTAGCAACTTCGACTGTGCTACTGAAACATCTAAATATTAAAAGAGCTTTATCAGGCTTCAGTTATTTAGCTATTAACTGTTGTCAGGTCAGGATATTCATTCATTTGTAACCTCACCGAAGAGGTAGTCCACAGTCAAGAACAACGAATATATAGTAAACCCTTATGTATCATACGTATAGTTTACAGACCATGCTATTGCTGGAACAAAGAATCGTCAATGGTTTCCATGAAAATGATTCTTTTTAGTAGAGAAATGCATCTTTAAGCGTGGCGCAAAACAAGCATGTCGTGTGGCCTTTACCTATCGAAAATTCAATCAATCAATCAATCATTCATACTCATTTACTCAGCTTTGCCGGATAGACATTTCGATATTTTACATCATATATACATAACATATAACAATTTAATGTACAAAGTTTTATATGTTATCCTGTACCATCTAAGTGTCATTTTCACGAGCCTGACTAAAACTGATGTCATTAAGCAATTCCTAGAATGATCGGCCCTAGAGCTCACGAGGTTGTTTAAAACCTACCAATGATTGCACTACCGTGACACTGGCATTTTTCGGTTCGTCGTTGAGCGAAGCACGAGACACATTACAAGCTTATCTACACCTAGTACAAACACAATAATAGCTAGGATTATTCGAACTTCGATAGAGGGTGACCACGTCTACTATTCAACTTACCATTATTTGTCAGCTGTCTTATTTCACTATAATTGGCAGATTTGTTCAGTAGACTTTTTCCTAACCGCCCGAGAATGATACGTCACTTTCGACAACAGAACAATGCGTTCATTCAACCAATGGATGCAACTGTATAGGCTGCAGACGTCTTTACATTGTGATTAACCGTGCGACCAGCAACGGACGAACTTAGCCGGCAGTACCGAATAGCGGCGGAGAAAAACATCCAATCTGTCTTTCATCATCATAATCACTATCATCATTATCGCCGCCGTCGCCATCGGTGGTTCGTGTGGGTTCGGTGTGTATTTGCAAAGTAGCGAAAAATCGCTCCACGTTTAACAAATCAGAGACGGCTCCTGTGACTGGTGTTGGTAGCAGTCAATTATTTGGTACCTGTCGGCGTGGTGGATTTTGTGCGGACAACGACCAAAGAAATTTCTATTTTTTTACATTCAAAGGCAGGAAGTGTAGCACCCAGTGACGACCATGGCGTCGAGCTTGCGGCAGGTAACGTAGCTCAATTTAAGTATCAAGTAAATACTTTGAGAAGTTTGAAACCTAGTTAACTGTGTAGCTCACAGACGTTGCAGCGAATTGTAACTTGCTTGGTCTTTATTCGTGGAAATAAACAGGTTGTGGTTAGAGTAACGATAGAACATATGTCTGCCTTCGTATGTCAGAACGGCAGTTGCTGTTAGAGAGATTAGCAGCACGAATCTCGAAGAACAGAGTACATTTTGTTATGATGCAGGTTTATGATTTCGATTTAAAGCTTTACAACATGTGAACATCTCTTTGTGTTATATTACTTTCGTCATACTATCAAGTGTCGAAAAGGAAGATGAAACCATGTGGTAAAAAAGACTATTATATATTCTCTATTGTTTGCATAACCTGAAACAACAGGGAAAGTGGAAATTCAGCCTAGGCAGTTTTAGGGGTAGAAATCACGCGTTCATGCTTAACACCTACGATCCAATCCAAATGCGACAGATGATTCAATGGCTACAGTTAATCTTAATAACTTGACATTTTAATACACTTTTTGCTGATACGCCAATC